GGCTGCCGGCGCTGCTGCCGGGGGGCATGGCTGGCTCAGGGCTTGCACAGGCACAACGCAGCCTCACCAAGACCCCGCTGGCAGCAGGGCCGGCGCCGGAGCTGGCAGGGCCATGGGAAGGAGGCCGGTGCTGGCAACCACCGATGTGTTTGCTTCCAAGCATCAGACAAGGCAGGTTTCTCCTGTTTCTCAGCCACCCCTGGCAGCAGGACCACAGCCTGGGCTTCATCCTGCCGCTGCCGCACCAGTGCATCCCCTGGGCCTCAGCATGCCCTTTCTAGCCAAAACCAAACTCCCACTCCATCTTGCAATCTTGCATAGCCTGTGGCGAAGGTGTCTGGCCCAGTGCCGCCCTGCAAAGGGCACTTTGTCTTTTTCCGCAGGATGAGCTCCCTCCCGTTGCATTTTTTCCCCTATGCCCAGAGCCAGGGTGGTGGCACCAGCCATGCCACGCTCCCTGGCTCTGGCAGCCCAACTTCATTGGGGACCAAAACACTGAACTGGGGTTTTGCTGGAGAGCAGTGGGGTGGGGAGAAGGGAGCCCAGCAGCGGCATTGCGAGCACTAACCTGGCGATGCCCCTCACTTTGCTGGCAGCGGGGCTGGCTCAGGTTGGTGCTTGCCAGGCTGCTGACCTGCAGGAAGGTGAGCTGCACTATGGCACTACCTGTTTGCAAGAGGAAATGCTGGCCAAGGGCCCGGAAGCCTCCGCTTCGCAACGCCCAAGCACCGGCACCCAGTGCCCTCCTGGCAGCACAGTGGGGTGGTCCGAAAAGCGGGCTTGGGCGGAGGTTTCCAAAAAGACCCGAGCACGCAATACTCAGTGCATGGTTCAAAGGGCAGCACAGCTCACCAGCAGCCGCATCCCTCAGGAACCTGCTCTGCAGGAACTGACTGACTTAAATTCATCAGATTTTTTCCCTTATTTATTTAGCAGGCAGGCACGAGCGAGCTCTGCCTGTGCCCCTGGGTGGCATGGCCACCACCGTCCCCAACTGCATCTGCTGCTGGTGTTTCACCACAGGGTTTTCCTTCTCTTTTCAGAGCCACCCTGAGCCAGTGGATGAGAATGTGGTGGATGCTGCAGCCCAGACCCCCACGCGGATGGATCCCCGCTGTAAAACGGTGGATGTGGAGAAGGTAAAAGCTGGGGGTTTCTTTGGCACAGTGTTTGCCAGAGGGCTCCCAGGGGAGCCTAGGTCTCCTCTTCCCTGCTGGAGCATGGCTTTCTGCTGACCCCTGGGATGGGAGGGATGTCGGGAGGGAGCCAATCTGGCTGCTCCTGCCCTTTCTCCCAGCGCAGACGACATCGCTTACGCTTTATTGCCCAGGTGTGGCCACACTGGGAGGCTCCCGCTGTGGTGGCGTGGGCAGAGATGGCTTTCTCTGACAGCAGCTGTGCCCTTCGAGCAGGACATGCTGCCAAGCCACACCTTGCTTGCTTGCTTTATTTTTTTTTCTTGCTTTATTTATTTTTTTCATTTTTTCCTCTTGACTAAGCACCTATAATAAGCACTAAGGGATCCCCTGGCCCAGGCAGAGCAATCCCCGTGCACACTGGGTGCTCTCTGCTCTGCCAGCTCCTCTCCAAGCATGTCATGGGAGCTGGGGTTCATCCCCAAGGTGCCTTTGGATGACCCTGCAGTTCATGGCACCACCTGGCTGCTATGCCTTGCACAGCCCTGGCTCATCAGTGAGCGTGCTTTTATCTTGCAAAAGGATTTTTTTTTTTTGAGCAGGAGAACACCTTTCACCCACCCCTCTTAATATTTTGCTAATGACCAACTTTAAAAGCGAATCTGCCATCCCAAAGTGACTTTTTTGCTCTAACTTTGCCCCTACCTCCCTGACGGAAGGTGTCTCTATCCCCATCCACGCACCTGCTGCGGGCTGGGGTTGTTTCCCCTCCTGGGCGGTCATGTCCCCCTGCCTGGAGCAGAGTCCCAAAAATGCCCGTGGCCACCTCGGCTCCTTGCCCTGAAACACCCCAAGCTGAGCCGCCCCCCTGACACCGCTGCCAAATGACTGCCAGCACAGCCCCAGGCGTTGGGTTGCCGCGCTGGCGCCGCGCAGCACAGGACTGCTGATGGAAAGCTGCCAGGCCCAGGCCTTGGCTGGGCAAGCGCGGTTTCTGTCCCAGGGCAGGGGTGGGACCGAGAAACCACTTTATCTGGCTGGGCCAGCAGAAGACGCGTCTGGGGATGCTGAGCGGCATCAGAGGTGGTGCTGCCAGTTGGGTGTCTCTATTTCTGTCCCATGCAGACATGTGTGCCCGCACAGGTCCCTTCTAGCTCTTGCAGCCATCTGAATGCAGCCATGTGCTGGAGCAGCGACTGGTGTTTGTGTTCCCATCCTGTATCCTTGCTCCCCGTCCCTTTCTGCTTTGCTCCCTGCTGCTGGAGTGCTCAAACAGCTGCGGCCCCCTGATGCATCCTCTCCCCAAAGAGAAAAGCCCTTGGCCAGGGCAATGCTGTGGGGACAGGCTCTGTGTCCTATTGGCAGCTTACTGGCATGGCTAGTGAGCGGGGCATATCGCTGCTCACTATCTAATCTTGGCAGCTCCTGAAGCGGGGGAAAATGATTATCAGGGCCTGATGCTGAGCCAGGTCCAGGTACAGCTGCCTTCACCTTGAACCGCCAGCAGGTACCTGGTGGCACGGGGGCAAGCTCACCCCGTGTTCTTGGGTAGATGTGGCTGATGTGTGCCTGGCTCTGCTTGTCTGCCCCACATTGGTGCTTGCAGGGAGCTCAAGGCTGCTTGGAGCAACAAGCAGCTGCTTGTGGGGCATGGGAAGGGGTTTGCAGCCCGAAATCCTGCAGCTGCAGTGCAGCTTTGTGCCTGGTACCAGGGCAGCGTGTGGGTCCCACGGGGGTACAACTGCTCTCTGCTCCCTCAGGACCTGGTGGACTGGCAGAAGCCCTTGCTGTGGCAGGGGGGCTTGGGGGAGAAGTACGATGAGTGGGTGCACCAGCCTGTGGATCGGCCCATCCGCCTCTTCCACTCGGATTTCCTCGAGCGCCTCTCCAAGACAGCGTGGTGAGCCCCTGGGGGTCTGCACCGTGCCCTGGCCGGTGCCTCCACAGAGAGGGTGGGACAGCTCGCCACCCTGCAGGATGCTCCCTCTGACATCTCCCTCTACCCCATAGGTATGTGGTGTTCATGGTGTGGGCCCCCGTGGTGCTCTATCTCAGCTGGGTCAGCTACACCTCCCTCGCCCAGGGCAACACCAGGCTCTTCTCCTCCTTCACCACAGGTATGAGCAGCAGCAAAGCCTTTGGGCTTGGCTCGCTGCCCCCTGCCCCGGGTCCAGGGGCAGGACAGCCATGGGCCCGGGGAAACCTCTGCATCCCTCCTTCTGTGCATGCTCACCACAAGCCGCATGCAAGGGCAGCGGATGAGCCCGTGTCCCCACAGCCACCGGCATGTCCCCTGCACGAAGCTGCCTCCACTGCTTTAAAGCCTGAGCTCGCCCACCTCCATGCCCTCCTCTCACCCACACAATTCGGTCCCTTGGGGAGATTGATGGAGGCAGGTAGCCTACTGGCCCAGGGTGCAGCCACTACCTCTTGCCTCCCTTCACTCCATCCCCGAAATCAAGCTCTGCCGGCACTGCGGTGTGTGCCACCCCCCACTGACGCCCACCCCGGGTCGTGGCTGGATGCTGGTGCAGCAGGCAAACAAACCCAGCTCTCAGTGCCGCCAGCGTCGTACAGTGCAGGGCTTGTTTGCCCGAAGCGCCTGCCCTTGAATCTCCCACTGTCTGCTCCCCCGGGAATAACAAGCGTGGCCGGGGCAGGCTGTCTTCTTTGTTGTGCTTGCTTTTTTTTTTTTTCTTTTTCCCTCTGGGCTCCCTATTTTTTTTGCAAGGTGCCACCCAGTGCCAGCTGTGCCCGGCCATGTGGTGGAGCACCCACTGCACCGGCAACCCCCTTCGCTCCTTGCAGCGTTTGACACCTTGCTGCCAAGGGGTTTGGGTGGTTTGTTTTTTTTTTTTCCCCCAAAATGAACAGGTTTGGAGGGCATCTGAATTCTGCTGGTGAGGACGCAAGGCTGGCAGCCAGCCCTGAAAGGAGGAGGTGGCTGAAAAATGCTCTGCGGGGGAAACTGCCCAACAAACCTATTATTTTTCCCCAAAAATAAAAAATAAAACCAACGCCAGCAACACTGTGTAACTGTCGCAAGTGGTGCCTGCACAGATAAGGTCCCTCCTGCCTTGTTCTAGTGGGTGAAGCAGCTTTGGAAGGATGGAGCTGTCCCCAGGGTGTGCGTCCAAGCCCTGATTGGCATCTGGGATGCAGGGGCAGCGAGAAGCTGACTGTTTCCATAAAGAGTGTAAATTAATGGGAATCAAAGGCAAATGTGGTTTGGAGAGGTGCTTGGGAAGGTAGCTCTCTGGTGAACCTCGGGGCAGGAGGTGGACAAGAGGTGAGAGGGAGGGAGAGCCAAGCTTTACCTGGATGCTGATGGGAGGATGGCGATGGATAAGAGCATCCATGCATTGCCTGCGCTGCTGACCACTGCATGTCTCATTGTGTAGAGTACTCCATCCCCGTCCACAAATACTACTTCCCCTTCATCTTCCTCCTGGGGATGTTCCTGTGGTCCCTGCTAGAGTACCTCATCCATCGCTTTGTCTTCCACATGAAGCCACCCGCTAGTAACTACTATCTCATCACCCTGCATTTCTTGCTGCATGGGCAGCATCACAAGGTGAGTCGCAGCTTACACCTCTGCTGGCCCCCGCCAGGCCGTGGGAACGGTGGCCTTTGCTCGGGCAGAGCCTGTTTGTGCGTGTTCGACGTGACTCGTGGCATCTTCGCCCCAAGCGGGGCCCTTACCTAATACTGGCAAGGGCTGCAAGATGGGCTGGGAGGAGCTGGAGTTAAACCTGCAAGCTCCAGTTGGGTGAGAGGAACACTAAAAAAGCCATGGGCTCCCTCTAGCTTCGCTGGAGAAAATGTCCCCTTGGAGCTCAGGGACCTGCCAGCCAAAGCCACTGGCTGCCTGGCCACCTTGGCGTGGGCGCGGAACTGCTGTCACCACTGGGTGCCTCTTTTGGGGAGGGTTTCTGGGGGCTGCTTTGGTGCTGGCTTTTCCCAAATGGGCGTCCCCAGTGCTTGGCAGGGATGCACTGGGGATGTGGGGTGAGCTAGGAGTTGCCTGTCCCACCATCCTTCTCCGCTTCCAGTCTCCCTTTGACAGCTCCCGCCTGGTCTTCCCTCCCGTGCCGGCCTCCCTGGTGATCGGCTTCTTCTACGGCGTCCTGCGGCTCCTGCTGCCTGAGGTGCTGGGGCTCTCTGTGTTCGTCGGGGGGCTCTGTGGCTACGTCATCTACGACATGATGCACTATTACCTCCACTATGGCTCACCGAAAAAAGGCACCTACCTGTACGGGCTGAAGGCTTATCATGTCAAGCACCACTTTGAACACCAAAAATCAGGTAGCGCTGCCTTTCCCACGCCTGCTGGTGGGGACAAGGGCTGTCGAAGCCCAGCCTGTCTGCGTGTGTGCAGCTGATGCTCTGAAATATTTGGCATTTGGGGTGGGGAAACCCAAGCACCGTGCCGCTGGGGAAGCAGCATACGAGGTGCTGCAAGCCCCATAGGGCACGTTTCTCAGCCCCCAGGTAGAGGATGTGGAGCAAGCACGGCGCAGGGGCAAAGGCACCAGCCTGTCTCGCCGGCAGGCACCAATGCTGCCTGGGGATGCCGGGGCGGAGGCAGAGCCCCCGCGGCGTCGGGATGTGGGTGCCCATGCCCGTCCCCGCCCAGGGCAGGATCTTCTTCTGCTGGCAGGCGTTGGTGGACGCAGGGTGAGGCCCTGGGCTTCCCCGGGTCCGCCCCACACCTTCCCCAGGCCGGCACTTGCTCAACCTGCTCTTTGCCCGGTTTCCTAGGAGAAAACGCCCTGTCCAGATAAGCTATCATCCACGGGGCTGGTGGCATGGCCCAGCCAGCTCCTTCTGCTCCCTCTGCTCTTCCTCCTCGCCCTCCCTTTGCCTTTCCCTCCCCGAAATGCGGGTGCTCCTCCCTCGCCAGCCTCTCCGGAGGGACCCCTGGCCCCAGCATCACTGTCAGCTGTCGCAACCTTTGTACCGAGCCGGGCGACGTGCCA